TGGGGAAAAGATTTAAAATTAAATTATGTCTTTTTGTCTACTAGATAAATATTTTTCTAAATTAGAAACGCATTATTGTGTATATATTACTTATGAGATTTGTTGCCCCCTTTGAATGAATTTAATTTGTGTTTTCTAAAAGTCTTATACTGACATGAAAAAAGTTAATATTTGTCAGCATTCAGAATTTGAGAGCCATTCAGTATTTCAGGGAAATGAGTTCTATATACTATGTGCTAGTGTGGTGGTTCTGTGTTGCCATGAAAAGTAGTTATACCAGATTTTGGAACAAAAAAATGTTTTTCAAAGATACACTATATAAACACTAAAGTTTTTTGTAGTTAAATTGTTTTGCTGTCATTTAGGTAAGTTTAATATAATTCTGTTACTGCAAATATTCCTCACTTGAATTGTTGCTGTCTTCTTCTGGCAATTGGTAAATCTGTTAACTCAGTTCTTTCTGTGACTTACCTAGTCCTTATCCCTACAAATGAAAATACCAAGCTCAAAAGGTATCAACTGTCCTCGTTACTGCAGTTCAGCCCTGTAGACACTAAGGTGATGATGAAAGCCTATAAAGCAATTCAGGGCTTAAAATTTCTGTATTGTTAGTATGTAAAAATTAATTAGCAGCCGCATTGATGTTTTTTAGGTAAATTTCTGTTTATATCCACTGTTTGTATACCACTAGTTTGGTATACTTTGGTATACCAAAGTGGAATTACAGATTGCCTTGGGTTGGAAGGGACCTTAAAGGTCATCCAACTCCAACTGTCTACCATGTGCAGGAACACCTTCCACTAGACTAAGCTGCTCAAAGCCCCATCCAGCCTGGCCTTGAACACTTCCAGGGATGGGACATGCACAACTTCTCTGGGCAGCCTGTCCCAAAAAAGGATTTCCTTCTAATATCTAACCTAAACCTGCCCTCTTTCCATGTAAATCTTTATCTACCCTCTTTCATTTTAAGTAAAAGAAGAAGAATGCTGCATGTACAGGCTGTATATCATTCACTCTCCTAAATTCAGAAAAATCAGAAAACTGATTAGAAAACTCATTCAAAACATTAATGTTGACTTGAATTTAAGAAAAATCTAGAAATGGAAATGTTCAGATATGTTTGCAAGAAATTTATTCCTCCCTAACACTGTATAATAATTATGATTCTCTTAATGCTCTTCATTCTAATGATTGAAAGTTTTGATAAAAAAGAAAAGTTAAAAAAATTGCTAGCCCAATAAATCTTCAATGTATAGATGTGGAGTTTCTCTCCACATCTGCAATCTGGGCAAACCACAATGTTATGCACCAATCTCAGTATTGGTGCATAAATTCAATTTCACAGCTAACTCCTGGAGGGAAAGAGGGTAGGTTGGAAAAGTGGATGATCATGAATCAGAAAAGAAAACTTAAGTGGTTTCACCGTGTTGTCTCAAAGTCTGCCAGGGTATATTGAAATATTGCAGCTATGCAACCAATGACCAACCTCATAAGCTGTCAAACTGCCTTAGAAAAAGTACTTTGAATTTTTAAATGCTTCTTTTTCAAATATATTTTAAACTTCTGTGTGGTTTTAGTGGTACTTATTTCAATGGTGCTTTTACCAACAAGTAGAATTAACTAGAACTAAGTGGAACTATATATACCAAAGATGAAAATCTGAGCGAGCTTTTTAATCTGGAAAAATCTGTTTCTTTATTACTGTATCTAATATAGCTCTCTGAAATGTCAAAGTAATGTTCTTGTATTATGTCTGCTAATACTTGTCTAGCATCTTAATTAAAAAAAGACTGATGAACTGTCAATAAACTAAGTTGTGGTATTCTTTTTCTTTTTCTTGAGAAAGACCATTGCTTTTGCCAAACAAGAGAAACAATCACGTAATTTGATTGACTGCCACATATTAACCATGCTGAACACTGGAACTGTGTCACATTCAATAACTTTTAGATCAACAAAATGTAACTTCTCTAAAGGTGTGACTAATCTGAATAACTATGGAAGGGTAAGATCCAAATTTTAGACAACGTGGATATCTGAAGTTGCTGTTAACAAAAACTGTAAGTCTTTTTGGCATTGTTTGCCTGTTCCCAATGTCCCTGATTTCAACCTAGCACAATAACTGAGTAGGAGAGGGATTATCATTTTGGCAGGAAAAAAGGTACTCTATTAGGACCACACAGTGAAAATTTCAGATTATTTAAAGCAATCAGATTTCCACATAAATGGTTGTGGGAGTATTGGATTGCTGCTTTAAAAGAAGACTTGGGGGGGGGGGGGGGGGGGGCTGTATGCAGATTTATAACCCTTAAGAAAGAAACTGTGAGGTAGTTTCAGTAATAGTAATTTACAAAGAAAGGAAATTAATAAGTGAATATGTAAGGCAAATTGATGGAAGTCTTTACACAGTGGAGCATTCTGCATCTTGTAATAGTGGCTGTTGAAATGCATCTGCTGGGATTTTTCTTAGTTCCTTTGCTGCCACATTCTCCCTCCCCAAATCCAAAGCCTATTTCTTGCCTAGCTCCTAATTTTGCTGGGAGGTGAATTGTCACAATAGGGTTCTTGCCAGTAGAACCTTTCAGCCCAGGGATTGAGCTTGCAGTGTGTTCTGTTGTTGTGGCTTAGCAGATCTATTCAGAGGCACAGACCCTGTCTAGATGAAAGCCTAGCAATGCCTGCTGTCCATTCCCACTTCATGTGTAACTGTGGGAGTATAACAGTGTGGTTCAGCTCAGCAAAGCCACTTACTTCTCAGCCAAATCCTCTCAGTTCTATATACTTCGTGTATGTATATTCTTCCATGGTGTTTGAAGCAGGATTCTCTTTTTCCAAGTATCGTATCATTTGCTTTGCAGCATCTTTGAATGAGATGGGTAGGAGTTGTGTTTCAGTCACTTTAACACTGCCAAGAGGACAATATATAGGAGTGGACTCTTGGTGTGGCATGGAGGCTGCATGACCATGGTAGCATTGAGTCAAGGGAGGGGCCATTCAGCTCCACATGGGATTAGTTTGACTGTCAATGACATGCTAATCAAACTGGTTAGTTTGACTGGCCAACAAGACTAGTAGTGATTGCTGGTATCAGAAGTAACTACTTAATAATATATATCTGTCTCCCTTAATTGAACTGTGACATATTTAGCAATGAATCTAAAGGGTAGAGAAGAACTTAGCTTGGGATGTGAAAAAAAAAAAAAAATTGCATCCGCATTTCCATACCAGTGACTCCAGCAATCATTTGTGGTTTCTGTATGTGTTGCTAAAAGCCATGTACATGCTCTGTAAGCTATCAAAACTTCCAGCTGCTACTTCCAGGCAAATTTTGCTTGGTAGTAGGCAAGTCATTCAAGCTTTGTTAATCTGCTTTAGTGATCCTCGGGATTGAAATTATCTTTTGCTAAGTGCATGCACTTTACCTTGTAAAAGGTGTTGAGTCCCAGTTAGACTGCTGGATAATGGCTAAAAATCTATTTTTTATTGGGAAGCATCCACTTGGAGAGTTGGGTAGTGTTGTAGTCTGGTCCGGTGGAACTGATGGAAGATGTTGGATGCAATGAAAACATTTCTCCTCATCCTCTGTGCCTTATTTTTTTTTTTTAATGTAGCACATTTTGATCATGGTATCACTGAGCATTCTAGTGTTGCCATTGCTGTCTTGGACTTCACTTCATAAGGGTGGCAAAGAGAGTCTCAGCTTCTCCTAAAACTTTGCGCTGCTAAGAGATGTGGTGATTCTGTGGTCTTTTGAATTGTAATGTTAGGTTTGGGAAGAAAGAAAGTGTGTTTGTATTTCAATAGGTTTATTCTATATGGTTTTTATTACAGCCTTTTGGGAAGTTTTTGTGCTCAACTGACAATGTAACTTATCAATTACTGTTATGGAAGAACCACAAGAACTGTATTCATTCACATTTGGCTTAGGTACATGTTAGCTTTGCCCAGACCACTAAACCTGCCAAAGCCCAAATTATGAGTGTTGGTAAAGACTGTACTGGTGAGGAGAAAAAAGCTATTTGTGCAGAAAACCCAGAGTTTTGCCTGTTGTCAGTATAATAGAATATTGTAATGTGTTTTATTGTACTTTATTTCTGATATGCTGACAGGTTTTAGTTTCTCTGATTTTCATCAGCAAAGTAAATGTAATTGGTTATTTTTCCTGTACCTAAAAGGCACATGGGGAAATTATGCTTCCTTTCCTTGGAGAGTGGCATGATGGCTTGGCTGCCATTTGTATTCTGCTGCTTGTGTGTTTCCAGTCCCAAATGACTACAGATGCTTTGGGTGATTGCTGCTGGGAATGGGTTTCAGGGAGGAGTTCCCAGGACTGGATTTACACTAAATAAACAGAGGCCAGAGGGGAAAACTGTGTTTCATTAAGAACTCTGGTTTAGGTTAAAGGGATAAAAATAGCTGCAGGACATCTCAAATTAGTTTAAAAACTAGAAAAATGAAGGAACCCAATCTAGAGTATTTCTTTTAAGTACCCACATATCTTTTTAGAGTTCTCTGCCTCACTGTCTTCTGCTCAGTGTACCTAGGTCTATAATCCAAAAGGATCGCTGAAAATATTCAGCTGTCAAAGTTTCAGATTCCGTAAACACAGACTTTTTTTAGTCAGTGCTGTCAGTATTCACATGTTTGTCTTCTTTGTTCTGCCAAAATATATTCCTGAAAGTTTTTGTTTTCTATTCTGGTTTTAGGCAAGATACAAGAAATGGAAGTAAAGCACCAGAAAACCTTCTGCATATTGGAGAGAAAATTACTGCATCTTCCATTGAAATTTCCGTAGTTATTCATAAAAATGTTCTGTGGTAGACTAGTGTACATGTGTTTTGTATGCTTTGTGTAAAGAAAACATAATTACTTGCCTTCTACTCTTACCAGAATGTTTCAGACATGCATTTTTCAGTCTTGCACTTTGGCAGAGTTACAGTGACTCCACTTTCTGCAAATACTCTGTATTAAGACAACATCCTTTATGTTTAATATTGCAGATCCAGAATGCTAATGATGTGCTAATAGCACCGCTGGAGAAGTTTCGAAAAGAGCAAATAGGAGCAGCAAAAGTAAGTGGCTGGGGTTGTTTTTCATTTAATGTTTATTTGAGTTTATCAGTGTGTTTTGAAAGCTGGACTGAAAACAAGCATTTTGTATTCAAACAGACTTGATGCCATGCTCATTAATATGTTAGTAAATTATACTTAATTCTTTGCTTCAGAGGAGGAGACAATTTAGAGATGGAGTTTAAAGACTGATAATCTGCATAGAAGATAGCTCTTGCTACTGTTGCACATTCCTACCATCTGGCATTGTGTTCATCTTCTGATGTCTGCATTTCTGCATTTACATTATGCTGTGTCTTGGGTTAACCCAGAACCACAGGGAGGATTCAAACAGCTGCTATGAGTCCCTCAAACAGGCATTGTATAAAGACAGAAGACAGTTTCAGCACGATCTCTACCTCTGCTTTCCCTCTCCTCTTTACATGGCTGATGCAGTGCAATGGTTCATGTTCGTTTTGCCAGAGTATTCATCTTAATATTCTTCAGGGTTTTTCCCATGGTGGAAGTGCTCCAGTTAGTAATTTTATCTGGTTCTTTTGTGTTAAGTATTATATCTGTGTGAGAGAGACAATGCAGGTTGTCTGTACCAGGGTTCACTAGTCAGCTCAGGAAATCAGATATATTGGGGAAAAGTATGTTGGAATTAACTGTTAGTCTAGAATAGCTGTTTTCAGTCTGATCCTGAATTTTTGAGTGGTTGTCAGTATCTGCTTTCATTACAGTCTCTGGGCTATGCATAAATGCTGTGGTAGTCAATTAGAGGTTATGGTTCTTCCGTCTGCATGAATGCACTAGTTCTGAAGCATTTTGCATCTTATATTAGTGCTCATAAAATTTTTTGGGAAACATTCATTTGTAAGGTTAAATGAGTACAAAAAAAAAGCTCTCTGATGTTGCAGGTGAGGTTGGGCATGTGCTGTACTCAAAGAAACTCAGAAGAAGAACAGAGCTATTGGAAAGAGACACCAAAGGTTTATACTTCATGTACTGCTATTGTGAATGTGTGGCAAACACATGGGGCTGCTTCCGCACAGGAACTAAGTAGATGTTTGTGAAGAATGTGTACTGCGAACTTGAGGTCAGATTTCTCTGAAGTGGGTGCTCTTTACCCTTTCACTTGATATGTTTTTGTGTACAACAACATTCTTCTCTTGTCCCACCCCTGTGCTGCTGTGAGATGCAGGACTGGGAGATTATTTACCATGCTGCATGAATCAGAACTTAATCCCAGCACAAAATTATTTTTAGTTTTCAGTAGGTTTTAATAGCATCATCCAGTTCTTTGTAGTAGTGTTTCATTTCCTATTCTCATAGTTCAAGGGATATCATTCTTCAGAGCACCCTATTTGAAAGCTTAACCTACCATTCTACTGACTGTCCTGCTGCATGACAGAGACAATCCATAAGTGGTTCACAGGACTCTCTGCAGAACTCTCTATGACACTCAGGTTTCCTTTGAATAAATATATCACTCAGTAGATGTCAACACATGCATAATGATCTAATTGAAGATGACTCCTTTGTTTTTTGTATCATCAAGATTATTAAAGGAAAGGCACTACAGGACAGGATGAGTCCCCTCTGTTTGGTATATCACAATGGTTGGTTTCTTTTCCATATCTCTTCCATGTAAAATATGAGCATCTGCTCCTCTTAGAGTTGTTTTGACTTGTCTGTGGTCATACTACACTGTACAGAATGAGTTCAGGAGGGAGCCTGGCTCAGCTAACTCTTATTCCAGTGTCTAATGCACTTTATTATGCAGTGCTGTGTGTTTTGGAGAGTCCAGGATACTTGGCTTGACACATGGATACCCTAAAGAGAGCTCTCCCAGGTCATTGTTTTATAAAATGTCAAACAAACATATTTTCTAGCACTGCACATGGAGTTCAACTGTCAAACTCAGAAATGAGAAATTCAGAAAGCCGTCATAACCAAGTGTGATACATTTGCCTTTGAGTTGATTTTTATCAGTGGAAGCAATTACAGTTAGCCTCTAACTAAATGTAACTAAATGGTATCAACACAAACAAGTCAGAGCTTAATTACATTCAGTATTGTTTTTCTAGTAATTACAAAATAGCAGCGTATGATCTAGGAATAATGAGACCCATATGAAGTAGAGTAGAAATTTGGGCTTTGTGAAACCCATTATTGGTAAAGTGGAAAACATGGTCAGATTGTTTACCCTACTTCTGTTCACTGGGATCAGCCCTTGAGCATTTATGAGCTCTTATAAATATAGAATGAGTTGAGCTTGCTGATTATTTATCCGCAGTTAAGGAAGGTTTGCACAGATATTTGCCTCTTTGAACTCCTCTGGGATGATCTGTGCTGATAGTCAAACAGAGATATAGATATTTTCTTGTTGTTTGGATTTTAGGAGCAAGTTTCACAGAACACTGAGAATGTCACTTTTTATTTGTGGTGTTTTCTAGACACATCAGTTGAGTGGACCTTACAGGTCCACAGCAGGTGTAAGCTGGTTTTTTTTCCCTGTAGTGTTAGTCTAAAACAGTGTGTAGAATGCTATTTGTATCAAATCCAAACTTGATTCTGTTTTTCTGTCATCCCTCTCCTACCCAAAACCCCAAAACATTTCTGTGTACATGTTGCTCTCTGAAGAGAAACTGGAGATGTTCCAGCTGACTAGAAGCTGGAGAAAGCTGTCCCAGTTTTCAAGAAGTGCAAGAAGGAGGATCCTAGAAAACACAAGCCTGTTAGTCTGACTTCAGTGCCTGGTACAGTTATGGAGAAGATTATTCCAGGAGGTATTGAAAAACACCTGAAAGACAGTGCAGTCATTGGTGACAGCCAGCATGGCTTCATGAGGGGAAACTCCTGCTTGTCAAATCCGATTTCCTTTAATGACAAGCTAACCTACCTAGCTGATCAAGGGAAGCCAGCTGATGTAATCTTTCCATGCTGTCACAGGATCCTTCTGGACAAAATGTCCAGCATTCAGCTGAATAAATACATCATGCTGTGGGTGAGAATAGGCTCATGGGTCAGGCACAAAGGGTTTTAATGAGGGGGGTGGCATCAGACTGGTGACCTGTCACTAGTAGGGTTCCACAGGGTTCCATCCTCTGCCCTATGCCCTTCAACATCTTCATAAATGACTTGGACACAGGACTGGAAGGGATACTGGGCAAGTTTGCAGATGAGGCAAAACTGGGAGCAGCTGTTGACTCCCTCAAAGATAGGGGACCCTACAGAGGGACCTTGACAGATTAGAGGACTGTGTTGCCCTCACCAACCAGATGAAATTCAACAGGAAAAAGTGCTGGATTCTGCACCTGGGATGGTTCAACCCTGGATATACAGACAGACTGAGGAATGAGATGCTGCAGAGCAGTGTTTCAGAGAGGGACCTGAGGGTCCTGGTCTGTGGCAAGCTGAACATGAGCCAGCAGTGCCCTGGCAGCCAGGAGGGCCAACCCTGAGCTGGGGGGCATCAGGCACAGCATGGCCAGCTGGGCAAGGGAGGGGATTGTCCTGCTCTGCTCTGCTCTGGGGTGGGCTCACCCCCAGTGCTGGGTACAGTTTTGGGTGCCACAATATAAGACAGGAAGCTATTAGAGAGTCTCCAAAGAGGGGCTATGAATGTGGTGAAGGGTCTGGAAAGGACGCCATACAAGGAGACACTGAGATTGCTTGCTCTGTTCAGCCTGGAGAAAAGGAAACAGGGAAAACTTCATTACAGTCTGCAGCGTCCTCATTAGGGGAGGCAGAGGGGCAGGCACTGATCTCTTCTCTGTAGTGACCAGTGACAGGACCTGAGGGAATGGTCTGAAGCTGAATCAGGGGAGGATTAGACTGGCTATTTATAAAAGGTTTCACTAGAGGGTGGTTGGGCACTAGAACAAGCTCCCCAGGGAAGAGGTCATAGCACCAGCCTGTGTGAGATCAAGAAGCGTTTGGACAATGCTCTCGGGCACATGGTGTGACTCTTGGGGATGGTCTTGCGCAGAGCCAGGAGCTGGACTTGATGATCCTTTTGGGTCCCTTCCAACTTAGCATATTCTGTGATTTTGTGATTCTGTGGATGGTGCAAACTCCACAGGATAGCTGATAGTAATGTCACATTTCTAGAGCTGTCACTTCACAATTAATTTGCATCATAATATCTTATGGACAAACATTTAAAGGGATTGGGTGTAGAAGCACAAGATTGGTATGCCTTTAGTATTAGCAATATTAGCAGTAACTAGAGATCCAAGCAGCTGTTAGGTGTTGGACTCTGTCTTCTCATTGGACTTTATATATTTTAGTACCCTATTAAGCTGTGTTTCCAAATTTTATGGAAGAAAAATATTATTAGATAGTTGTGTTACCAACATACAAAACAGGAAATTATATTAAGTACCACTGTCAGATTTTGCTGGGGGTAAAGATTATGTGAGAGAGCACTTAAAAGTGATGTCTGGACTGTTTTTCTTTTTTTTTAATGAAACACCAGATAAAATTCAGTTGCAGATAAATACAACCAAACCCCACGCTTCCAAGGGAAAAAAGGGGAAAATGGTATAAATTGTGAGAATCACCATTTTATTTTAATAATAAAACCTTGTAAACTAATTTGTGTAATAAAGAAGTTTACAAGATTTTTTGCTACCATGATGAATATTCTCTAAATGTTTTTACATAGAGAATGCAAATATTTAATTTTTTCTTCAAAACTATAATGAGTTTAGGCAAAAATATGGTCTCAGAAATCAAAAAAAATATGGAAGATAAAATATATCCTGTTGACGTTACAAAGCTATATTTTAAATACAAGGACCATATAAACCCAAGAGTGCAAAGTTCAAGTGTTTTTGGAATAACACAAGAATAACATTAAAGACCACTTCTTCACATGCACTTCAAAAACCTGAAGGTACCCAACAAATTTGAGAAACATTCCCCATAAAACATTAGTGTTTGTAATCTAACCAGCAATATACAAATCTACATCACTTGCTCTTCTTGATTTATACTACTTGCTCTTCTGTTTTTAT